TTCAAAAATATTAAATATTCTATTAGTTTCAGAAGAGATATTTAACATTTTCAATGTTTTTCTTCATTGGTAGCTGAAACTCTTTATTTATATCAGGAAATAATTTTGGTCCACAAAAGTTTCAGGTTTTTTCAAATCTTTTACATGTCAGAAAATATCTCCCAATTATTTAGGTCTGGGGACATTCCAGTATACAAGCACATTAATGACCACAAAAATCCACATTTGCTCAGTAGGCTGCAAAGCACATCCACGGAACCCTTGGAGCAGTCTGAAGGGAAAACCATGCGAGTTACTGTGTATGAAGTTTGAGTGGGGTTTTCCATTTACATTCTTCCTTCTAGCCCTCTCTCTCACATCCTTCGTTTTTGTTTTAATATTTCTCTTTACTACAACCATAACAAAGTCATTATCTGAGTAATATCCAATGGGTGAAAAACTAGTGAAAAAGGCTTGTTTTCGCAAAGGTGTTTTTTTCCCCAGCTGTTTATTGCCTTCCTCTTTCATAAAGTATACTTAACTTTAAATATTTTATTTATTTCAAAATAGCTCATTTGCAGACTACTTATCTTTGAATTTGGATCTTTTAATGAGACAGTGCAACAGGTATTTCACACCTGCACCGCTTTATGTTTAAATATTCAGACAGTGAGTATCTGGATACTGTTCTACGTGTGGGAGCTGTACAGTGGTGCTATAGATCTTTTCATAACTTAGAGCAAGCAGATGCAGTTCATATATTGTTAATGTGGTTTTGGCAATTTTTACAAGTAATTAGCATTCTTTGATTCTATGATATAGTGCTATGATGACTTACATAAAAAGCTAACAAAACTGTAGTCCACTGATTCCCTGTTAGTAGCTACTGCAGAGCACAAATGAACTCAATGATCCTCCTGGATCTGCCCCATCATGTAAGGAGAGCAGCATGCCTCATTACTGCATTTGGCACTGAAGACACAGTCCAATTCTTTAAAGGACAAAGATTTTCCAAGTCCCTTTTCTTGATGAGGTACAAAGGCCCATCTGACTCAACTGATCCCAAAATATTCTTCACCTATGACCGGAGGTTGGACAATGTAAGTATTGGACAAGAACTTGGCATGTTAAAAATTTACCCTTCTTTTGCCTTTCTTTTCAAAATCGATCATGCCCATGATGTTCAAAAGATGGATGTGACTGATCTTGGAAACATGCAAATAGAGCTGGCAAGAGTAATGCCAGGAATGGAGTGGGAATGGAAGGCTTGCTATGTGTGGGTAAAGGGCTTATTTCTTAGGAAAAGCTGTGAGGTATTGCCTGTTCCCTTGACCAAGGGAAGTCAAACACAGACACACAGACTGTGGTGTTTCTGAACTGCAATATAATTATTGACTCAGCATATACGTATACAGGTCTATTGTCTCGTCCATACAGCCCCATTTAAAAATATCTATAATATACTGAAGATATTTGCTGCTTCGCATCCTAGTCTTGTGGGAACTACACAATGTCACAGAGAAGAGAAACAATGGGTATGCATTTACCTGCTCTTGACAAGTCTTTGAGTAATAGCTCAGAATATTTAATACACACTACAGTGCGTGCTGCCTGCAGTATTAACTTATGCAGCATCTGTATCAGATTTATGGATTTTTATCAGGAAAGCTGGAGCCCCCCATTAGCATCATCTCATGATACATGGCCTATTCTTGTCAAATGGAGTTCAAAAGTACCAATTCCAGGTGGTATTGCATTAACAACTTCTTTCTTTAAACAGCACCAGCCCACACAGTCAGCACTCACCCAAGCTGCAGCAGAATCAGCTGATTAGTGTGGGCAATATTCCATAGTAAAGAGGGATGCTATTTTTATGTATATATTTGTGGGATTAATGCTATCATGTGCTGTGCCTGTGACTCCAGAAAACCAGCAATTAAAAATGTTCAATAACTGGATGGATGATTTCAGTTCACTCAGTTCATCTTACAACAGGAAAATTAGTAATGCAGTTCCCTTTTGGGAAACCAAAACAAAACAAACCAAACACCACACAAAACCCCACAAACAAACAAACAGAAAAATCTAAAAGAAAAAGAATTTAAGACCTTGTGGAGCTGACAAATGAGTTTGCCCTTCCACAGAATACAGTTTCATCTTCTTGACCCTTTAATCCTCTCACCCATTTTAACCAAACCCCAAGCAGTTCTTTGGTTAAAGCATCATCTTTCCTCTTCCCTTCCCCCATGTCCCCCACTGTTTTGGGTCTCATTCTGTGTGCACTGGCTGCCTTTGGCTTCTCCAATTCCCTGTGCACATTATTGAGTTGCCAGGGGAACCTTCAGGTAACCCATGTGTGTTTCTTTTCCATTTTGCTGTTCCGGTTGAAGAAACCATATATGCCTATACTTTTATCCCACTGTCGAGCAGAAACACCATTATCTACAAGGTAAATTTGCAGGCTTCTCACAACTGAGGAAAAATAGGACAGGACAGACTTGCTCCAGGCTTGCTCCTTCAATCACATATACGAGCCTGTCTTTTACAGCATTTTAGTATTAATTTGGGAGCATTCTGTTTGTCCATCACTGCCACTGGGATAAGCCAGCTAATTTGTCTGGCTTGCATGGAGATAAGCTCTGTCTGGTTTCCAGCTTTGAGTACCTTTTTCTTTCTGTACATCACACCTGAAGAAATGTTGCTATAAGTCTGATGTCTGAGTGTAGTTAGCTCAGAACCATGTTACCTATTGGTATCTTTGAGAACATTTTCCAGAATTTTCTATATTGAAAGTCCTTTGAAATTGATAAGAATATCTATATAAAAGGCCCTCGTTGAAGCTCCCTAATGGATCATCCCACCCCAAAACCACAAACACACACATATACATAGCATAGTGAGCATACTCACCCAGAAAATAGTTAGGAACAGAATTTAATAAGATAGTCTAGCTTGCAGTGATCAGGTTTGGTCAGACAAACATACTGACCAACAATCAGCTTAGGTACACCGAACTGTCCTTTTTGTCTCCCAGTCTTCCCATGTTTGTTTATCTCCTTCCCTCCCTTTGACCTCTTACCTAAGTGTCTGGTAACATTTTTTTTCACATTCCCACAATCCACTCAGAATATCCCTTAAATTTTACACAATCCCACAATCCCTCTCATACAACCCATCCATAGGTTTGCTCCCTCTTACAAGACCTGCAATAATCTTCTTTTTCTTTTCATCCATTTTCAAAGTTTTTCTTTGAACCTTCTAAGGTTTATGTTTTGGTGGTTCTTTTCATGGCCCACTGATAGTGTCTTACAATTTCTACTTTTACTCTTTTTATTATCTGCTCATTCTTTTAGTCCATGTATCTTTATGTTTAACTTCTATCTCACCTGTGTCTTGTCTTTGTTTTATACACAGCTGATACCAAGATATGCTTACAGTACCCAGCATGAGGTATCTATCCCAGAGTACACAAAGCCAGAAGAGCAATGTTCAGAAAGGCTAACCAGAGCAATCCTTCAATCAGTAGTGACTCACATAAGGAAATGGTCTTAAACCTGCTTTTAAAAAACAATGTTAAGATGATGTTTAAACGAGTTTCACCAAGTTTTTGACTTGATGTGCAGGTGTAAAGCACAGTGCTATGCTCTGACTGCCAGGATCTGACCCACTTCATTTAGAATTGCAGATGAATGGGATGCTGGTTCCAGACCTTCATGTCTTTGCCTGCTTGCTTCACACCCACCTGTCTGGCAGAGGAGTGAAAGCTGCTCGATACAGGTAAGAGAAGGAAACTCACAGTATTGCTGCTCATGCTATTGGGATCCCAGGAGGAGAGACCAGCACCTTTCTCACCACTTTCCCTCCTCAGGAAGCTGTAGAGAGCAATGAGGTTCTCCCTCAGCCTCCTTCAAACCAGACAAACCCAGAGCCCTTTGGCTGCTCCTCACAGGACATGCCTTCCAGCCCTTCCACCGGCTTTGTTGCTCTGGACACATTACAGGACCTTCACATCCTTCTTAAATTGTGGGGCCCTGGGCCGGTGTTGGCTGAGATACAGTTTATTTTCTTCATAGTAGCTAGTACGGGACAATGTTTTGATTTGTGCTGAAAACAGTGTTGATAACATGGGGATGTTTTAGTCATTGCTAAGCAGTGCTTACACAGTGTTGAGGCCTTTTCTGCTTCTCACCCCACCCACCAGTGAGCAGGCTCGAAGTGTCAAGAAGTTGGGAGAGGACACAGCTGGGACAGCTGACCCCAACTGATTTCCATACTGTATGAAGTCATGCTCTGCAATATAAAGCTGGGGAGAAGAAGCAGTAAGTGGCAGACAATTCAGAATTAGGGTGTTTTCTCTTCCTAAGCAACCATTATGCACGATGGACCCCCTGCTTGTGTTGGGAATTAGTGAACTAATGCTTTGCTTTGCTTTGCTTCATTGCACGGCTTTTGCTTTACCCGTTAAACTGTCTTTGCCTCAACCCATGAGTTTTTTTACTTTCACATCTCCAGTTCTCCCCTCCACCCCACAGGAAGGGAGTGAACACACAACTGTGAATACCTTAGTTGCCAGCTGGGGTGCAACAGGCACAAAACTGCACACATCAGTCAAGGTGAGGCAGCACCAATGCTGAAACAGCAAGATGATCACTTCTTTTGGCTGGCTGGTTCTACTGTGTTTTGATGCACCCTAGGATGCAGTTTGCCCTCTTGGCTGCCAGGGCACACTGCTGACTCCCTGTTGATCCTGCTGTCAACCAGCAAATTAGGCTGGAGGATGAGGTTTTTCCTGGCCAATTACATCTCCCATCAGCACAAAAACTAAATCTGGCATTTTCAAATGATGCTATGAGCTAGGATATTTCCTCCAACAATGATTCACAGCACAATGTCCACATAGCTACTGTCTCCTGCTCTATGAAAGCATTAGTCATGTGGGAATTAAACACCTGGAAAGCCTACAGCTTGTCTTCTCCAGACTAACCTATTCTAGTTGCTCTCTTTGCATGTTAAGCACCCTTTTTACTTCCTGAAACAGGCTGGATCAATACCATTTTATGAATTCCCATTTGCCATCAGGGCAAATACCTACAGAGGAGAAGAACCTGTTCCTGAGCTGCACAAACCCCACGTTCCTCAGGCCACAGCAAGTCAGCTTGGTTCTGGTTTAAAAGAGCTGCAGACAAATGAAGAGCCACAAAGCATGGCAGGGTCCTGTTTCAGCAGCACTGAATACATTTCTCTACGGATCGGGGCAAATATGTCATGCTTTCAGGTGTCTGCTTTTGAGAGCACTGTCTTCTGGACTCTAACACTACTAAAGGCAGAAACACTTGTCAACAGAGATGACCACATCAATCCACAACTTTACATTTAACAGCCTGCTATAAAAAGACCAGTTAGAAGTAGGCTTCCTTGCTTGTCACTGATTTCTGCATGACTAAAAGAGGAAAGAACTACTTCCTGAAAGTTAGATGGGGGAGAAGGCTATGAGCTGTCCTCAGTTCAGGGGACCATTTTAAAATCAGCAGCGAGAAGGAAGAAAGTAAAGGGGGAACAAGAATGTCAGAAAGCCTCATTTATGCTGACTTGAACTTGACTGAATCAACCCGGCCCAAACTACAGAAGGTCACAGATGTCCAAGGTAGGTAAATTGGTCTGAATTGAGCTTTCTTTGTATTCCTCAGCCTTTTGTGGAACACCAAAGCCTCAAACAGGACTAAGAAAATATGAGGGCCAGTGCTGTGAAAAATGCACAGGTGGGGGGTCCATCCAGGTCTTTTACCCCCAAAAAGGGGATTGTTATAGGGTCTAATTTTTGTTTGTTAAGGTACACATGTGAGGGAGAGCTTCTTATGCGATATTACGAGTAGTTTCTATCAGTCTGGGAGATTATTCCACAGTTGAATGCCAGCTTGTCCTGAACCAGGTGTGGTCTCAGGCACCAAACTGATTCCTGCAGCAAACTGATTAGGAGATCGAATGCCTAATGTTTCTGTTGTTTGAAGCAGTTTCATGCACAGCTTGTTCCTGCTTGCTGAGCATGGCAGGCATTGCCCCAGGGTTTCTTTTTTTCTACTGGCTTTGTCTGTATAAACTACATGTTTAATAAATCAAGCATAAAATGTTTCATGGGCAGATTTAGCTTGATTTAGTATAAATGACTCTGCAAAATTCTAACATAAAACTGATTTTGCTTTAATGAGCTAAGAATTATTGCATAAAATTTTGCACTGGCTTTGCTACATCTGCATGAAGTTACAACCTAAAATAACAGACTTCATACACTTTGTGTTTCATTTTATTTTTTCTTCATTTTTAACTTCACCATCTCTGACACAAACAGTAGTTTCTATTTGTATTTTTTATCTGCAGATGTTAGAACAGTTTTCTCTTTTCACACCATCTTATCATTAACCCCTTGAAATTTAGCATGATCTGCAGCTTCCAGGTCTGCTTTGATGTTGTAGCCAATCTCACCACATACGTATGGATGTGAATAAGACAAACAGTCAACCTTACACATTTTTCTTCACTTCCTTTTAAAATATGTGTGCAGGTACCCATGTCCCCTCTGTTGCTGTTTGCACTGAAGACAAATCAGATCTGTTTCTGCCTATAGCAAGTCCTCTTAGCTGTGAATGCAATGGAGAAATATGTTATTCAAGCATAGCCAAACACAGTCGCATATATCAGTTGATGCGATGTGTATAGCATTTCTCGTAACTTCAGTCATTTTTGCTCCATTTAAGTTGTTCCTTGGTTTTCTCTGTTATTTTTGCCTGGTTTTAGATTCAACATATGCAGAAGTGAAAGTGCAGTCCCTAGACAGAAGCGCTGCAGTTAGCTACACGTCATCTGGTGAGTTTTTAGCTGTCTACTAAGTTTATATGAATTTAAACACTGAGAGGAGAGGATGTTGGTCCTTATTTTCAAAAAAATGCAGTGATATGAAACCTTATGGGAGACAGGAAGAAACAGATGTCTGCTTTACATAGCCAGAGCAGGGGGCTGTTCATGTGTTGTGTTATATGCAATGAAACACTTACGGGTTCACTGGTATAGGAACACACAGAAATTCTAGGCCAGACCAAGAAACCACAGCAGGCATACGTGAACAACTAGAGATGAGTAAGAAGAGGGTGGGTGTACACAATACCTTCCTATAATACTTGCTCATGTAGTCAGGGACTTCCCAAGGCAGGTGTATTTCTGTTTATGCACCCTCAGTGGATATCTCTTCTACAAACTTGCCCAATCTCCCCTTGGTTTTATACACAGCCCAGATTCCTACAGTGTCCTTTGATGAGGGGATCCATAGCTCTTTTTAATACCACATGAAGAAACATCTGATTTTTTCACTCTGAACTTGACTTCTATTAGTTTCAGCTGACGTTCCATGAAAGATACAGTAAGCAGCCATAGAATATCAAAGGTCCAAATGACACACAGGATTTTATATAACTCTGACATAGCTTCTTTCTGGTTATCTCTTTTCCATACTGCAGAACCCTAGCCTGCACCATCATTTACTGCTTCCCTTCTCTGAATCTTTTCCCATACTGGCAGTAGAATTGCATTCACCATTAAAAATAGAGGCAAATCATGATTTTATAAAACCATGTGGTAGACAAAACATCCTGTGTTTTGTTCATTTGCCTTCTGAATGATTCCTAAAGTGGGAGGCTGTAGAATGTTCATCCTAGGATATATTCAAAACCTGACTGTGCATGGTCCTGGACAACCTGCTGTAGTTGACACTGCTTGGACTAGATGATCTGGAAAGATGACTTCCAACCTAAATGACTCTGTGACCGTGTGGTCAGGACAGCTGACCTAAGTTCACAGATCTCCTCTAGAACATCCATCTGTTTTTTATTTTCAATGCACATTAGATCTGCTAAATTCCAGTCCCTGGGTGCAGAGATGATAGCTTTAAGACTGAGGTTACAAAACGGTTTAGCAACCCAGCTATCTCACACCTAATGTCTCTTCGAATTTTTTAGCTTATCCTTTTATTTGGGCCATACATCTTCCAGTTCATGCAGCTTCTCACAAGGAACTGCCCTGAAATGGGAGATCTACCCAGTTCTTACTCAGAAACTCTGCTATAAGGGATTAATTTAGCTTCTCTACTATGACCTCATCTTCTGAATGCTTCCTAGACAGCCTACCACCCACTGGCCTACAAAACAAATTATCTGTCCTCTCTTGGACCTGCCTGTGCTCTATAACACCCAGCCAGTATCCACTGAGTTGAGAGACTAATGAGTATTGCAAGGACCCTCTTGAACTAAATCCTAAACAAAAGTCCATAAACAGTAAAAACAAAAAGAGGAGACAGTTCACTTCTCTGAAAAATTTGCTTTTTTTCAGGAGTATAACATGGCAGAACCTTTTTCTGGTAGTCAGATTGGGCTTTGCTTTCATAGTATTTTGAGAGGGCAGATAAGGATCCCGGTGAGCACTTAACTCCAGTATCAAGTGCAGCAGAATATATCAAAGTATTGTAAGCAATGGCAGAAGGGTTCAGGTTGAATGTCTGTGATGGAAAAATATGTGTCCACAGTCTAACTATCACAAGAAGAACAAACATGTGAAGGGACAGCATCAAAGCGCTTTGTCTAACTTAAGAGTTCTCTCACTGTGAGCCTGGAAATGGCATCTTTGAATGAAGACAAAAGGTTCCTTTTCCAGTTGTTTCCCTAATCTTTGTCTTTTTTCTGTCTATCTGTAGGTAAAAGCTGTTGCTCCAGAACATGCGTTGCTGTATTGGTTGCTGTGATAATCCTCCTATTGGTCTTAGCAGTGTGTCTGATACTCATGTGTAAGTCCTACTAAAAATGTAATAACTGCAATTAATTTTGACCCTCACCCACCAACTGACATCTGAGTAATGCCATCCAAAGCCAGCAGCAACAGAAGGCCAGTCTGAAGGTACAAGGCAGTCGTTCTTAGCCAACCATGGCTGTAAGAGGAAATCCATAAAGAGTCAAGTGGTTTGGAAGTTTAAAACTCCAAAAGAAAAAAGCCAAAACACAATTAAAAAACTTGATGATGTTCAGACAGTTGTCATGGTTTAAGCCCAGCCAGCAACTCAGAATCATGCAGCTTCTCTCTCACTCCGCCCCCCCCCCCCCCCCCTCCTTTCTCCCCAACAGCTCCTGGAGGGATGGGGAGGAGAATCAAAAGAATGTAACTCCCACGGGTTGAGATAAGAGCACCCCAGTAACTAAGGTATAACACAAACCACTGCTGCTACCACCAATTATAATAATGATAAAGGAAATAACAAGGGAAGAGAATACACCCGCTCACCACCCGCCGACCGATACCCAGCCTGACTAAGCAGTGATCTAGCTCTTCCGGGTAACTGCCCCTAGTTTACATCCTGTGCATGATGTGCTGTGGTATGGAATACCCCTTTGGCTAGTTTGGGTCAGGTGTCCTGTCTCTGCTTCCTCCCAGCTTCCCCTCCTCCCTGGCAGAGCATGAGACTGAGAAGGTCCTTGGTCAGAGTAAACATTACTTGGCAACAACTAAAAACACTGGTGTTATCAGTGCTGTTCCCAGGCTGAAAGTCAAAAACACAGCACTGCACCAGCTACTAAGAAGGAGAAAAATGACTGCTACTGCTGAACCCAGGACAACAGTAAATAATTTATTATTTATTATTCAAATGTTTTGAAGAAACAAGTCAAGATTAGATAATGCCTATTAGTATTATGATTGCTATTTGTGAGAATATTTTAAGGTGATGACTTTGTAACATGTCACCATCACATCCATAACACCAAAAATCTTTACATAAATATGAATAAAAGCTCACTCATTTGAAAGAGGTAGCTAAGTCACAACTTAAAAGAATTTATTTGCACCTCACTCTAATAAAAGCTTAGTGCTAGGCCCCTCTGCATATATATCACTGAGTTCACAACTATCTTTGAACTACATAAAAAACTGTTTTTTTTTTTAGAAAGCAAGCATTCTTATCTCCATTAGAGAGGAAAAAAAACAAAACACCAACAAATTTTAATAGAGCCACATGGTACATTCCTTTGAATATTTTCAAGGAAATGTTTTTAAATTTCAGATGTGGTTGCTTGTTTCTTTTCATCCTTTAATAGTTAAGCAAGCTTAAAGAGGTTTCCACAGTCAATCACATTCAAGTCCCAGAGTTTACCACCTACTCTGGATGCATACGGAGAAACTCTTCTTGAAGACATGACAAAACCTTTGATCCATGGAACTTTAAAAATAGGGCTGGGGGAGGTAACTGTTTTTCAAGGCAAAAAGTAAAGGAGAGATGTCTAATAGTGCTGTGACCTTTATAAAATGCAAAATAGCACAGGAAGGGCAAAATAATATAACAAAAAAATCCTAACAATATCATAAGGTGAAATTACCACCATTTAATAAGACTTTTAATCAGGAGTTGAATGAGGAGCCACTAGACTCTGATTCAGGTATGGCTTCAGTTATAGTTACTTTGTTGGGTTCAGTACAGCCCCAGGGAACTGAAAAAAATAATCCTAAGAAACTTGAGATCTAGATAAAACTTGAGAAACTAAAGCAAATTAGTTTTTCATTTCAGTAGCATATAGTTTTTACTTGTACTCCAAATAAAAATTGTTGCCAGGTTGAGTGGTTTGTTTCCAAGTTTTTCTTTTAGATGAGTTTTCCATATGGTTTAGTTTTGCCAAATATACCGTTATTGATGAACAGCTTGTTCAAATGAACTAAACTGTCACCTCTTGATATTGCTCCATTTTACAAGAGCTCTGCAGGCCAGAAGGCATTTTCCATTTCTGTTAATGAAAATGACAACAGTCTTACTCAATGGAACATGAGCAGAAATTTTTATGATTTTTATAGTAGTATCATGTTCTTTTATTTTTTCTTGAAAGAAAAGTTATCTGCTGGTAAGTAAAAAATTAGCCCTGCAGTTCATGAGCTGGTCTTCCAATAACAGATAGGTCTGACTTTGAAATACTCTTTCATATGACTTAAATTTTGCTCTTTTCTTAAACCAGGAGTTGATATCTAGCCTCAAGATATATGCATATAAATGCATGTATGCATGGAAAACATACACTTTCAAACCTATTCTTCTGGTTTATTTTCCATTATTGCTCTAGGAGTTCAGTAAAGAGCAAAGAAAGCCTAAATGTTCACAACTAGTGTATGGCCAAAGCATGATAAAGTTCAGTATTAAGTTGCCCCAATTAGAAAATAACACATTATTGCTTTGTTAGTTTTTGGCGCCTTTGAACCATTTTCAATAACGGTGCTGTCTGATACAGCAGATTTCAGAGTTAAAGTTGACAATATTCCAGGAACAATCTCAATCTACCACTTATGTGTTTTAAACTGATTTCCATTCAGTAGGAGAATCAGTGTGATGGTGTTATTTTTTGCAGTGCATACCAGTATGCATTCATTTTGATTTTTTCACATAAATTAATGATTTTGAATTATGTTAGGTAGTTCTAGTACCAATATTTGGTACTATTATACACTAAAGTCTTCAGGTCACCTTTATAAGCAGTACTTCAAGCTTCCACCCACAGAATCAGGCAATGTGCAAAACCCAGCTTCTTCATCTTCTAAGATGAAATGGTCCTGACATTGGTTCATACAATGGTTTTGAGAACTTTTACTGAAGAATAAATTCTGATTCCCCCCTCTTCCAAAACAGGTGATTGTGTCTTCAACTTTTCAATCCTCAGCTTTAAATTCATTATTACAATCAGTGTTAATACTTCGTAAAATATAATGCGTACTTTATTGTGGGTATCTCTGTATACAGGTTTGGATGTAATTCTATATACCAGAACTTCAAGAACCTTTGTTTTCTAATGTTCAGACATACATCTTTCCTTGGTTTTTTTCGTTTAGTTTTGGTTTTGTTGGGTTTTTTAATAGTGGTATCTAAGACTCAACTACTCCTACAGCAATATATTTGAAGTTAATCCCTAAAAGGAACAGGGCAAATCATGCAAGTTAGTCTCTGCAAAATTAGACTTTTACTGATCAACTTTGATCTTTGAATTGTAAATGTAAAACCGGTATTATACATTGTCAGCATTTGGTTTTAGGTGCTACAGTGAAGCTTTTTCTCTCACAACTTTGAAAGTCTGGTTCTTGCTTGCTATTGGGAAAGAAATGTAGATTAAGAAATGTAGGTTTTCCTAGGCAATGTGTTCTTGAAGACCATAGTAGCTCTCACAATTCATACGCCAGCAATTTGTGAAAGAGTATTCAACAACTGTTTTGCACCAGGAGATGCCAGCTTGTTACTATCCCACTTAGAAAGAAAAAAGAAAAGCACACAGGCTCTGTAGGGTATTATTTAAAATGCAATTTATTAGAGTTAATAATATAAAGAAAGAGAGGACAATAGAAAAACCTAGATCTGATCAGATGCTAGGAAACCTGAGCAAAATTACAGAACAAAGGAATCTGGTCCAGTGGCTCTGTTTTCTGGGAAAACAAGTGTAGTCATTTCCCCAGATAATGCTGTTATTTCATACTTCCTTCCTTCCTGTTGCCACCCACTGTCTGGCTCTAGGCTTACGGAAGAAGCTGATTATTCCTTTGTACTAAAATTGAGATTCATATATATCACTGCTCAGTTTGGAGTCTCTGGTGGTCCTTGAAATCCTCCATTGGAGGAGGAAAAACATGAGGAGAAGGCATTCTGTATGGGGTGATGGTGGTAGTAAAAGAGGTCCAGAAGAGCCCTGAGAGTGTAGGGCAAGATGGTCAGACATTCAAAGCAGAAATCGCATTCTTATTTCCAGATCATCCAACCACAAGCAGACCAGCTGACTCAAAAACCTTCTCCATCACCTGTGAAGATGCACATGCACTAGGTAGGTAATACTCTGCCATTCAAAAGACAGTTTCCAGAAGTCTGTTCAATTGTCTTTTAAGGGGGTGGAGGCACTGGGGGAACGTATGTGTCCAGATTTTGTTCAGAAGAACAAACAAAGAATTTGACATCTCAGGAACAAACCATCTTATCATGTACACTCATAGGATAAGCTCTCTAGGCCAGAGACTTTTCATATCTTCATATTCTTTAAAAGTAGTGCTTGGTCAGCACTGCATTACTTTTTCAGAGGTAAGAACTGATTACTCTCTCATGCTAGCACAGAGGAGCTGATGGCTAGGTGAACAGACAAAAATATAACAATCCCTTTGATATCCCACCATTTTCATGAACATGATGCACATACTGCTTCTCAAGCACCTCTCCATTTTTAGCATTTTAACTAAGTGCAATTCCCTTTTGCTGTTTAGGAGCTGCTGGATAACCAACAAAACTATATCAAGCAGTCCCTGTCTCCCTGAATGATATCACCCTTTCCAGGCCTCATTCTCTGTTCCTCCTGGTACCCTGCCTGGCAATGGAGAGAAATGTTCTTTCTTTTAGTAATATCACTATTGCCATATTTTGCAGCAGGCAAATAGGACTTTTGAAAACTTAAAGCTGCTTTTTGACCTGGCCATTTCTCTTTACCTCCTCAGCAAATACTTTAAAGGCTGGATAACGTTATCTGTGATTCTACTTCTTTGACTTATGCCTAGGGCTGGAATTAACTACAGAGAATGGCAAGGATCCCTGGTGGTATGGTGAAAATCAAAAGCAGAAACACAAAGGTACTTCTCTGGCTGCAACTCACTCTCTTGCCTTTCTTTTCTGTTGGGATCCTTTTGTTAGTGTGAACATGGAGTTTTTCACAGCTGTTCTTCCCTCCTGCAGGCTGCCCCAAACACTGGGAAAAAAATGGGGGAAAATGCTACTTCTTTTCTCAAAGGCAGAATAAAGCCAATTGGAATGACTCCCGTAAAGAATGTACTGACATGAAGGCTGACCTGGTTATCATTGACAACAAGGACGAACTGGTAAGATCAAAATTCATGGGGTTTGACCTGTATGCCAAAGGGATAATGGGTTACACTTGCGTATTCTCATGTTAGATGTCTGCCTTCTCATGTTAGATGCCTTTGCACATCTATAATCCACTGCTAGCTGCATACACCAAGCACCCCTATATGGCAGCAAACACCTTCACAGTAAGATGCATCTTGGTGGTTCAAGTCTTGCACCTGGGAGCTTCCCTCTGCAAGCATGCTCCCATGGGAAGGACTAAACTCTCTGCCTAGATGACTTATGTTTTAAAGAGATTTAGCAAACAAACCAAGACATACAAGCAGACACTTATTTGTGAGAGTCTTTTTTTAATGAAAACTGAAAAGGCTTTCCTACCACAATCAGAATAGAAAAGTTATCTCCAGGTATCAGGTCATACATGGCTAACTATAGCATATAGTTTAAATGGTATCACAGGTGTATTATTCTTTTTATTCTATTCCTAAGAATCCCCAGGAAGAGAAATGAGAATAAATTGGAAAAATTTAGCACCTAAAGCCGTGCAAAGAGATGTGTGGCTGGATGCATGGTGTACTTGCAACGTTGGTTATTTAGCACTAAGCTTTCTCTGCACCTCTGGTGAAAACAACATAATTTTAATGTATTATTATTCTTTGTTTCCTTTCTAGAATTTTCTCTACAAACAATCTAGAAGTAGTTACTACTTACTTGGTCTCACATACTCTCACAGTGAGAAGAAGTGGAAGTGGATTAACAACACGGAACTTAGCTCAGACATGTAAGCCTTTTTCAGCAAGTCACTGTGATGCAATGTCTGCAAAAAGTAAAACATAAAAACACACAAACAAACCAAACCAATACAAAAAAACTCCAAACAAAATCCAGACCAAGCAACAGGGAGTACAAGCGAGGTCAGGGACCGTAATCTGCAGCAACCTGAGTCCTTTTGATTCAGGTGCTTCAGCACATCCCTGTGACAAGTCAAAGGGAGCCTGTAAGTCATGTGGGAACACAGGCATGTCACATCAGGATGGCAAGAGAGAACACAGCTGTAGTTCTGGTGAGTAAGGAGGAATCTGATTAGATTGAATTCAGTGAAGAAAGGAAGGGGCAAGGAAGTGTAATGTCAGCACCACTGAATGGAGGCTGCCAAAGAAGGGGAAGGTCTCCAGATAGGAAAGCATAGCCCATATACTTTTGTTGAGGTCTGGGGAAGAATATTAGGGAATGGGAGTGAGAGTCCAGCAAGGCAGCCTCTAATCCCACTGACAATAATACAGCTTAGCAGCAAGGCCAGGTGCCACTCTGCCTTTCACGGAAGTGATATGACTGCATTGAGTTCAGCTAGGTCAGGAATGCAACTAAATCTGGCTTTCTCTCCCTGTTCAGGTTTTGTATAGGAGGAGACTTTACTGACTATTTCTGCACTGTCATTGGATATGGCAAAGTAGAAACTGCACCTTGCAGTGGATCCTTATCAACACAAAATATGTGCGAAAAAGCTGCAGATATTTCAGAAAGCCAGAAGGAGAGCTAAAAAAGAAGAGATCCAAGCAGCAATGTGATCCCCAGCTTTCTGTAGGAATGGCAGATGGTATTTGTGTCATTTATCTCTAGCTGTCTAAATATCTAGTCCAAGGGACTCTTAAAGGATCCCTCTAGACACCCTGCCAAGCATAGCACATTCTTTCCCAAGATGTGTGTCTAAGACTGGATGGGTTCCCCTCTAGAAGGGCATTTTCACACATTAGGAGCCTGGGTGACTTCCTTATACCAGATGCCCAAGTTTCAGGCAGCCACTGTTACATGATATGAGTCCAGCCTTAGGGATAGGTGTGATCACAGACAGATCCTGTCTCTTATAGACACATGCATATGCACCCATACATTCAGAGCCCCGCTTATGAACGAGGAGACACTTCAAAGCCTTGATGTGCACTAGTCCTCCCTGCAGCCACAAGTGAAGGTTAGCACATATATGTATTTTGGATCCTGAAGAAAAGTGCAACCACACTCATTGCCATGTGTCATAGATATAATTGACAGGACAAAGTCAAAAGTGTGTGTGTATAAACCTTACTCTGTAAAAAACTGTCTTTGTTAAAAAACACACTGGATACCAAACCTAAAATGCCAAGGCTAAAATGCGATTCACCAGAACATCCAGAAATGAACCTTCACCACAGCTCTGTGCATAAAATCACCACCAGTCCTATGTAGGTGAGGGAAAGTTTATCAGATTTAAAGCGAGCCTTGCTGGGGAAGGGCACAGGATGAAGAGCATTAGAAACCACCAAAGCCTGAAAAACACAATCACAATAATAGCTCAATTGGACAGAAAATAGTCAAATCAAAAAACAATTATCTGTGAAGAAGCTGGTGAGAAGTATGAGAGTGACCTACAGAGAATGACAATACATTTGGATTATCCTGTTTTTCTTGGATAATGATCTAAGGAGAAAATTATGCATGACGGTTCTTCCTGCACAGAGAAGTTAGAGCCAACAGTGGAAACGGGTGGTATCGGTAGAGCAGAGATGTGACCAGCAAATGGTGAATATTAGCAAAGCTCTCCCACTGTGCCTCAGCAGCTCCTGGGACCCTGAGGCTTTTGTGACTCCGAGGATTGTCACTCTTATTGTCTCCATGGAGGCAGAATCATTTCTGCTTCAAATGGCACCATTCATGGCTCTCTCCATTTGCAGGATGGAGAAAGATCTGCAAATTCCTTGATGAAGTGGCAGTGACGTCATGCTTTCTAATTGGGGGAAAAAAAAAGGTTTTTTGCTTAATCAAAGAATTTATAATCAGAACATTGCAGCCAAGGGTAGTGAAAATGGAATCATACAGGAAAAATTCTCTCATTCTGATTTGAAAGCACATCTTGATGTCTCTCAGACAAGCAATACTCCTCGCTGTCCCCATTCACCAATGGCCAAGTTGACAGGTAAATTAACAGATGGCTAATATTGCCATTCTTCCAGCATATGAATGGAAAACACCTTGACATGCTACTTTCTCACAGCTTTCTTAGATGAACAGAATATCATTGAGGGGGAGTAAGGGAAAAAACCTCATTAGAATAAGCTTGTCAGTTGGAAATAATCTTGTCCATGGCAAATAACCAGAGGAAATGAGAAGCATCTCATAGAAACTGGCTACTCAGAAATAATTTACCATGGTTTTGTGTATTCCAGAGAAGACTGTGGGCCTTCAAAAGCAGGTATCTGTATTAAAATTATGGCAAAGCTAAAGGTCTCAGGAGGATTTAACATCCATAACTAGTAGAGCAATTATCATTAAATTTCAATGACATTCTCAAAAACAGACAGACACCAGACAATAAGGATGAAGATTTTTTCTTCTTTTTCTTCTCCTTTTTCAATTTGAAAGTCTGAAAGCAACAATTTCAGCTGTGCTGTAATTCCAGATACACCGAAAGATCTGTCTTTTGCTGATCCACCCTGTTAGATTGCAAAAGTATACTCAATTTCCATATTGGACAGGAGTCTGGGATTGGAGACAATGCCAGACCTGAAAACTAGACACAGGGACAGGTGACCTATAGACAAGCATACTCCTACAGGTTAGTAAGAATATGAACAGCATCACTATTTAACAGTTTACCAAGGTCCTTGGAAATGGATCTGACTTTGGTAGATGAAACTCTACTGATTTTTGCAATGAAATGTAGAGTTTCCATATTTCTATTGTTATCTATCCCAGACAATGAAGATCTGTATAATTAAGCTCAGTGATACGAGAAGCGCAGTTCACGACTGTTTCTCTAACAGTTTCTTCTTGTCTCAGTGTATTTTAGATAAAGCTTTTAAGAAATTTATCCCAAAATAAAAAACACATACAAAACCACTTTGTATGAGGATGTAAGTTGAGATCTTGTTGATGGAGAGCATCAGAAATGAGAAAGTGTAGATAAAGCGTCAAGAGGAGCAACTGAAGCTGTATTCAAGGCTATTTTAAAAATTTGCTCTAAAACTGCCCTCAGAGGAATCCACCACCAGTCACCTATTTTCAGTGGCAGAGAGGAGATTTTTTTATAAGCCAGATAGCTTTATCATACAGACATCACACTCAGATTCTCACTGAATTTCATCTTGAGAGAGATATCTCTTACAGGATTTTGTTACTTCAGCTGATGCACAATAGTTCAGGATTCCTGCTTGAAATTTACGATTTGCTTTTGACCATAAAAATACTATCATGTAAGACCGGTTGTCCTGGGTTCAGCAGTAGCAGTCATTTTTCTCCTCCTTGGTAGCTGGTGCAGTGCAGTGTTTTGACTTTCAGCCTGGGAGCAGAACTGATAGCGATGTTTTGGTTTGGCCAAGGACTTTGTGAGCCTCATGCTCTGCCAGGGGGGAGGGGAAGCCAGGAGGAAGCAGAGACAGGACACCTGACCCAAACTGACCAAAGAGGTATTCCATACCACAGCACGTCATGCCCAGGATGTAACTGGGAGTTAGCCGGAAGGGTTGGGAGACTGCAGGGTTGGAGGAGGTATCGGTCGGAGCTTGGTCGGGCTTGGGGGGCGAGTTATCGGTCAGCGGGTGGTGAGGTGTTGTATTCTCTTCCCTTGTTATTTCCTTTATCATTATTATCATTGGTGGTAGCAGTAGTGATTTGTGTTATACCTTAGTTACTAAACTGTTCTTATCTCAACCCATGGGAGTTGCATTCTTTTCGATTCTCCTCTCTGTCCCTCCGAGAGCAGGGGGAGGGCAAGAAAGGGGGGAAAGTGAGCGAACGAATTACCTGACTGGGTTTAAACCACGACACCGGTGTACCACTTTTCTATTAGATCATTTGATTCGTACTGTATCTTTCATTGTATCTTAGTGCATTAGGTTTAATTCTTTATATTTACACCACAAATGCCTGTAACATATCTTGAAATCTGTATTCTCCTTTCCTTCTGCTGCACTGCAAAGTTCAAATTGTGCAACTGAGAGATAAGTATCATGGCTGGGTGACAAAGGATACTTTTCCATAAGTTACGTTAATAAAAAAGAAATCAGCATCAATAAATGCATATGGAAAGGACAATCAGTGGGAATCTGAAGTACCTAAAAAACATTTTTTAAAGGAGTTGGCAAATACGGTGTCAGTCTTTTATCCACTGAACTTGCTCATGTAGCAGCGTATTCCAGTACTACCCTCTGAAAATACTGAAGTGAGACGTCACTGAAAAAAATACCAGCTTCAATAGCAGACAGCTCCTGCAAGATATCCCAGTGAAATTTCAGAGCAGCAAGAAAGGGGAAACAATAAGAGAAGCAAAATTGAGAAAACTCATGGCTTGAGATGAAGCCAATTTTATCCGTGAAGACAACAGAAAAAAAGGAAGTGATGCAAGAGCATCCACTCACCACCTCCCACAAGCAAACTTATGCCCTGTCAGTCTCTGAGCAACAGCCACCTTGGAAGCCAACAATCCTCCCTCATCTCCTTCTTTTATTGCTGAGTAAGATGCTATATAGAAGAAAAAACCTTTGATTAATTTGGGTCAGCTCTGCTGGCTATGTGTCCTCCCACCTTCTTGCCCACTTGTGGTAGATGGAGACAGGGCATAGAGTAAGAAAAAGGGAAAGCCTTGATGCCGTACAAGCAGCATTCAGCAACAGACAAATATTAGAGTGTTAGCAACACTGGTTTAGCCACAAATCCAAACCTCTGCATCATACAGCCTGCTATGAAGAAAGTTAACTCCATCCCAGCCATGCCCTGTACAATCTCCGCCCCTTATTCTCTATCATTTGCATCATGCTCATAACCCCTCATCAACACCCACGCTATCCTTTGACATATACATTGATGTCATTCCCTTAAGTCTACAGGGGACCATCAAATGTTAATTCTGATATACATCCAAATATCTATTAAAGTTTGTTCAGATAATTTAGTCTGTGACTCCCTATGTTACAGTGGTCACTCAGGACAAGAGGGGTGGCACGTCATCATGGACTGCTGAGTGCTAAACACCAGTCTTGGTAGGGTTGTTGCTGTACTTGCCCCAGTTCTTGTGAGGCACTTACCCTCCACTGGTTCAGGTGGTTCCTGCTATAGTACTTGATATAACATACAACTCAAATCCTGAATTATTTTCCCCCTAAGTTAATTCCCCTTAAGGTGCATGCCTGTTTTCCCCATCCTCCCACATCACCCTCTAAGCGCACCCACATCCTTGAGTGAAAGCAACCCCACAAATGGATTTAACTGTTCCCAAGGGAGGAGCAATCCTTGCTGTCTTTCCCAGGCAGTTCCCTTACATCTACTACGGTAACCTTACTTCCTCCTACAGTGTGTGGAGTGTTTGCCTGGGAAGGAACAGGTCAGTCAGCAGAACCACTGGTGTTAACCAGCAAAGTGGCTTCTGCTAAGTTTACATCCCAGTGTTTCCATGTCTCAGCACTTACCACTCTCAGGTTAGTCTTCAGCAAGTTCATTGTATTGCTCAATCTTTCCAGAGCAAGCAGGTGACAGGGGATGTGATACATGCAACGAATGCCATGTTCCTTGGCCCTGGTTGACTATGGAATTGTTTTGAAAATAGGTCCTGTTGCCTGACTCAGTACTGAGGTACCATGTTGCTAAACAACTTGCTTTTCAAGGCCCAGGATACTGTTCTGGACAGAGGCATGGGTTACAGGGTATGTTGCCAGCAACCTGAAAGTCATCTCCACCATGGCAAGTACGTAACACTTGTCTTGGCAGGTTCATGGCAGCAATTCCAGTTCAGAACATGCTTGTTATTGCAAACGGGCTGCCTCAGTAGCCTGCTGTTACGAAAGAAGTAAACTACAACAGAATTTCATAGCAAGCACCTGAACCTTTCCAGTTCCTCATTGCTGTCCTGTTCTTATCATTTATGAGTTTGAAGGTCCCTGGAAAGTGTGTGTCTTTGGAACTGAACAAAGCCTGGCCACCAATACCTAGAAGAGTGTTAATATCTATAAAACCACTCAGATATTAGCAGATGTTTTCAGAGCATTTACTCTTTCTATCCAAGAGAAGATAGTGACTGCCCACAGTGTCACAGGGGGCTTGGGAAGAGCTATTGCTCTGCCCTAGGCAGCTGCCACAGTGCTCATCATATTCCCCCTGGGACTGTCCCAACCACACGCTGCTAGGGTGTTGGCAGGCCACTCAGCTGTGCCCCACCCCACATTCATTTTATGAACTCCAGGCGCTGATACTAGCACACATCCTTGCCCTGATTTGTGCATGGTGCCTGCGCACCCACAGCCACTGCTTCCCTGCAGCGCGGGTTTCTGTGTGGGACCTCACCCCGTGTCAGGGGTTAGAAAAGAGGTACCTCTAGGCTACTCACCGCACTGTGTGAATCGCTGCCTCCTAGCTCCTGGGAAGGGACAGTCCCACGCAAATGGACTCATCCATCACAGTTACTCTCTTTGCTTAAAAGGCACCTTCTAGCCCAGGATATAATTTCCAACCATTTCTTGGTTTTCATGCTGCCACAGAAATAAGTAGGCAGTTTCCTTCCACATACCTCTGCCCCCACACGGTCTTATCTAACAGAAAAAAAAGGAAGCCCCTCTGCATAAATTGCATAATTCAGTTTCAGCTGTGAAACTGAATTATGCAAGATAGAATGAAAATCTTCCCATCCAAAATTAACAGCTCTGCAACAAATGCTTCCCTCTGTGATTTCATTGCCCCCTCTTCTGGTGTCATTTATTTGGCAACAGAACTTCTATTCCCAGCTAGATGTTTATAACACTTGCCTTGTGAGAAGTGCATTTGAGGAGGAGGACCGAGGTCAAGCAGTGTTCTTGTCCATCAGGAGTCAATGCTGTGACTTTCAAATGAGGTGTCCTCTAAAATAATTACTATAAAAAGGATGGATATCAGCGTTTGTTAATTAATTGATTTCTTGATACATTCCCAGAACTCCTTATATGAGTGGTATAGTGACTCAGTATTGCAGAATTTCACAGACAAGAAGAATGTGTATATATACGTATATATATACAAACACCAGCATTTAGTACTAGGGCAGTGTTCAGCTCCTCTTCTTTGCAGTAAACCAGAGACACAGTCATGGAAGAAATTTTACTCCATGCATTGGATATGTTTTATAAACCCAACTGCATCATATTTATTTGCACCTAGGCAGGACTGCAGAGGGTGCTTTGAGCCCTCTATTTTATATTTGTATACACAGTATCCAGTATTACTCGAGCTAAACGATAACTACTGGAAAAAAAAACCAACATATAGGTATGTCAGTAGAGTAGATAAGAAAGGAGTCTTGCATCAGCTCTGTGTGCATAATAATCAGTCAAGGAAACACCATACATCTGTTCAAACTACTTGTGCCCACTGATCTAGGATGTTTCAAATATCTTACAAGCAATCTACAAAAAAGCTCTTCTCCACATAGCACTTCTGCATGCTGCAGAGTGATGCCAGCATTTCAGCAAATCTCTCAGCAGCCACTATTGCACATTCCAGTCACATTCAACCATTTGTGGTGCTGGGACCCAGCAATTTTGGTCTGGGAA